AAAAAAAAAAAAAAAAAGGTAGATAGAGAGATACATATATACATAGAGAATCAATTTTTTAATTTGCACATTGACCATTTTAGGTTATACTTGTGGCCCTGACAAAACTATTTAACATAGATTTTATCAAATTACCTCAGTTATTAAAGATCATTCTCTAAATCTTGGAATTTCTTCAGTTCCCTCCCAGCATTCAGAAAACTTTCTCTTTTGAGTAAATACTAATTTTTATCATTTATGCATTCTGCTAACTCTTTAGTATTTTCCTTGGCAGATTTGTCCTCTAGGATAGCCTTTTTGTGCATCCTTATTTTCTGTTCTAAGCTCTCCACTGAAAGCATTTCACTTCCCCTTGGAGAAATCTCAAAATATAAGGTGTCCCAAAATATGTATACATACACTTTGAATAATCATAAAGGCAGTATTTATTAAAATCTATTTCATTTTCAAAATTGAGCTATTAGCTGTTAAAGTATATATACATTTTGGGGAGACACTGTATATTTCCTTTGCCTGCCATTTATTGCTCAGTTCTATAAAATGCTTGAGTTTCATCCTGAAGATCAAGAAGCAGACGATAGACAGGAGTGTCATGGCCAAACACGTGATCTACTTGTCAAACAGTACAATTACAAACGGACTGTGAGTTAAATTCTAGTGAATGGCAGATTTCACCTTTCCTCTCAATCTGTTTATACTACAGAGATGTGTCACTTTTTGTTTTTGAGAGGGCATCAATTTTACCTCTCATGATTAGAGGTTTTTTTAAAGTGTGAAGTAGAAATAAGCAATGGCATTCATTTTATTTAGCAAATGATGCAGCAAATTGGGGATGAAGGAGAAAATTTTTTTTTGTTTTAAATGTTTTTATTTATTATTTTTGTTATTTTTTAATCCTCACCTGAGCACATGCTTTTATTGATTTTAGAAAGAGAAAGGGGGAGAGAGAGAAACATCGATGTGAGAGTGAAACGTCATCGATCAGTTGCCTTCCGCATGCACCCCAACCAGGGCTGGAACCCCTCAACCTGGGTATGTGCCCTGACCAGGAATCGAACCCACAATTTTGGTGTATGGGGTGATGCTCCACCCAACTGAGAAACATTGATTGGTTGACCGAACTAAACCTGCAACCTGGGCATATGCCCTGACTGGGAATCGAACTGAGCCACACCAGCTGGGATAGATTTTTTTTTAATGTCAGCTAGAAAATTTTTTTATATATATATATATCTTTATTGATTTCATAGAGAGGAAAGGGGAGGGATAGAGAGATAGAAACATCAATGATGAGAGAGTCATTGATCGGCTGCCTCCTGCGTGCCCCTGACTGGGAATCGAGCCCGCAACCCGGGCATGTGCCCTGACCGGGAATTGAAGCCCGATCGCCTGGATCCTGGGTCAACGTTCAACTGCTGAGCCATGCCTGGCCAGGCTAGAAATTTTTTAAAGTGGTGAGACAGATCATTATTGTTGCTAAATTTAATATTTTAAAAAGACAAATCATTTTAAAGAGAAAAGTAAGAATGATGGAAAAGGGGCAAGGGATTGAGAGAATGATTTAAGAATAATTGTGGGTGTTAAAGAGGGCCTCCTTCCTCCCATTGTGATCTCCCTTTGGTGAAAATGGCAAACAAAAGCCAGCAAATTGGGAAGGAAGCAGGAAATCCTGGTTAGCGACTGTCAGATTAGGATATTTAAGAGTCATGAAAATGCATGCTTGTTACATTTTAATGCTTTCTCTCTCCCCAATTTGTCCCCCTCCTTAAATGCTTTAGAAAGTTACGATTTTTCATCTCTATTTCATAGTAAGGATGCAATTAAATAAAATTTGGAAGGCATATATTGTGACCTGATTGTACAAAACCAGGTAAAATTTTGAATTTTGTGATTTGGGGGAACCATTCCAGAATTTATTAAATAACTTCCTATGCCAATGCTGCCCGACTGGTCAGCCAGGACCCTTTTCCTCCTCTAGGTAGGAAACTGAAAAAACTTAGCCTCAAATAACAGAACCAAAATAAAAATAGGAATCCTGTTTGGTCCTCGTATCTCCTCTATTCCTAGTAGTTTATTACTTCCTGGTTGAAAATATGCGAGAGAACCCTGTTGAAATAAAATTCTCATTTTGTGATTATATTAGGAAAGCAGATTCAGGAATTAGGAAGTGAAATTATCTCCAGCACAGCAGTTGTAGGATTTTTTCTGGAGAGAAATAGCTTTTCAGAAATACTCTGAGTTATCAGCCATAATGGCCTTGGTCTTTGCATTTATTTACTTTTATTTACTTGTATTTATTTCTCACACAATGTCCTAGTTCCAGAAAGTGCTAAAAAATCATCATGTATTTAAAACAAAAAAACAAACCAGAAAATCCCCTTGTCCTGGGGCTGTGTGAAGAAAAATAAAGCTCTCATTTTCCCTGTACCCAATCATCAGCTTGAACTGGCCTCTCAGGAACACAATTTATTGAAGCAATTTATCCTGGCTAAATGTGATATAAATCTGTGTACACCTATGTACATACAGGCCCTCTCCCATTACAGCAATAATGCTGCAGCATCGGTTTCTTCATAGTTAGACCCTGTTCCTGTCACACTGAAAGGTGACTAAGAAGCCCTTTCCATTTTACGGGCACCCCACAATTTTAAACACTGATTGGTTGTGGAGTTACTGATCAGACTACTAGATATACTGTTTTCCAACCCCTGAGTGAGCCTTAAGAGAGTGAAGAGATGTTACCTAGCTACCCTGTGAGTTTTAAGCATGGTTTTCTGATTACCGGATCTAGTCTAGCACTTCAACATTTTATTTTAACGCAGGCCTGACTGAGGTTAACCTGACATTTTGGTTTATCTCCAAGATAAAAAAAAAAGTGAGATTTGGTTATAATTCTGAAGGCATATTCAAATTGTAGTTTTTCTCTTTCATCTTCTCTTATTCACATACCTTTCTCTCTTATAGAAGGATTTTTGAAAATGTCCTTTAAGAGTTTATCCTATAAAGACTGTTTTTGTGCCCCTCCCTTTCCTTCCACCCTTTCAAAGTACTGCTTTATCTTTCTTTGCATTTCTAATTTTTAGTCACCTCTACCTCTATTTTTATTCCTAGGAGAGATTCGAGAAATTTCCCCAACACATTCATATTGGAATTATTGTTCCTTGACCAAGAATTTCTATCAGCATTGCAAGAGTTAGCTTCAATAATTAAAAAACAACAACAGTATAAACCCTGTTAAATTCTTTAGAGAAATAGAGAGGATGGATGGTGATGCCTTTTAGTGCCATTTCTTTATCCCCTGCAGCAGCACACATCTGTTGGTTGCAGCCGAGCAGCCCAAGACTCTGGCCGAGAGCAGCACAAACAGCCGGAACATATTCACCCAGTAAACCCCCAAAGAGTCGACATTTGTTTTATTGCTGCTTTTAAAAACCTAGCCATAAATAGAACCAGAGGGGGAAGGGCACCGATATTTCTCCATTTGCCACAGACGATTGGTGGGGGGAGAAGGAGGCTCCCAGTGGGGAGAGAAGGTTTTTATTTTTATTTTTTATTAATGAAAATCATTTCCCGTGCAGCCCAATAGGATGGGTGCTTTGTTTTCTTTGGCAATAATCTGGGATAAACGGCCCTTGCCAACATCTCCTAGTTTATACACCAGGGAGCCAGATTATAGCCCTGTAAAATGGAGCACCCCTCCTATAATCCCTTAATTAATTAAATGACAAATTTTGGTCTTCTCTAGTTCAGAAATATGGCTTCCGCATCGAGCGTTCAGTGGATTTATTGACATAGGGAACTGCACTGGTTGTAATTCAGCAGACTAGAGAAGTGTGTTATATACTGTAGCAGAAAGAGGGAAAATCTAGCAAAAGGTTTGAAATTCCTTGACTATTTAGGTCTAAATTTTTCTAATTAAAAATTTCAATTGAGGCACAGTAGATCATATGCCACCTGTCTAATGTGTCTCCCCAAAGTAGCCTGTGTTCACAGCTTTGATAGATGGCATTCTTGGGACACCTGTTTCTAGGCTTGATATTTTTGAAACACTTTTTTTTTAAACTCCAGCATATTTAACATAACTTTTCCCCTTACCTCCTCCTCCTCAGCTCCGCTCTGCTATATGAAATATGGGAGACGACAGACCGTTTGTGTGCAATGCCCCGGGCTGTGGACAGGTACGTTTACAATATACTTTATTGTGAATGTCTCGTTGTGAATCAAAGTGGCTGTTTTATCACTAAGGCAAAGAGTTTAAAGCCGGTATTTTACGTGATCACTGGAGGTAATCAGATCAGAGGATTTGCAGTGTGTAAATCCAAGTTATGAGGAAGTGTAGGCACTCTACCGTAATGAAATCTGCCTTGCTCTCTTTCATATTGTTATTCTACTGGTGTTTGTTTCCCAACGCAGTGTTGAGGAATACACATTGCTCTCTCCTCCTTTCTGAATCTATCCATCTAAATACAAAGCCAAGTTTAGAAATATCTTCTCTTCAATGTTCATGGATATAAAAGTCAGTTTAATATATTTGGATAGGCAGCTGAGAACGCACCCATTCAATGTTAACCCCAATTTACCAGAGTCTATTTGGATTTTTTTAAATAAGAAAAAAAAATGTTTCTTTTGACTGTTGATCCAGAAAATCATTGTTAGCAGCTAAGGCAGATATCTATCTAGAAAAGACAAATCCAACATAGAACCTGAGATGTCATAGCAATACATAAGGTGTAAGACTTCTCAGCCATTTTCCCTGCTGCCACGTTATTGTTTGCATATGTGTACATCATGTGTCAGATATTTTTCATCATATACTTTTTTAATAAAGTAATGTTTTGAAACTGCCTTTTTTTTTTCCATTTTGTACCTTCTTAACTCTTCTTCCTAGACCCTCCCGTACTTCTGTGTTCCACAAAGGATGAAGAAAGGAATACGAAGAAAGTTTTATCTGCCTTAATGAATTGATTTTATGGAACCTGAAGGGTTGAATTTCTGTTCAGTTAGAAGTATGTCATGTGACTGTCCAGTGACACTTACTGGTGGTATATGAGATTGCAGACTAGTTCTATTAAACATTGTAAATGCTTTGACAAAATGAAGAGAGAGTTAAGTTCCAGAGATTCCTAAGAATTGGAATTTGAGAGGTGGATGAGACACGGGTGGTGACAAGGCATGTGCAGAAGGACTATTTCAAATTCCAGGAGGTGCTGAAAATTTCAGAAAAGACTGAAACAGCGTTGTATTCTGAAGTATTCAGCACTGTGGGGGTGCGTTTCCTTCCTTGTCAAAGTTTTCAGCTTTATTGGTGACTGCATGTTTTCCCCATGTGGTTTATACTTTTTTTTTTTGACAATAGAAGCCACTTGGGAAAATAGGGTAAATATGTTTCCCTTTTCAGACAGCTTTACTGGAATACATATCTGAACCTGATCCCTCCAAATTTTGTATGAATTTATTGATAAGAGTATTTAATGTGACTCCCATAATTGATACCTGGTACCTTTTTCACTTTTCTCCTTTACTTTAAAAATCTGCATTTTTGGTGAAAAGATTTTTTTTTATGTTTACATTCATTTTTCTTATTGTTTATGCCACTCAATGCCTATAACCCCTCTTATATGTTGAGTGCCTAAAACCACCCAGACAAGGACTTAAAGAAATAAAAATGGATAATAAAAATAAAGGAATACACAGGAAAAGCATCTCTTAAGCTCTCTGAGGAAGAAAGATAGATCTAAGTAGCGTTTCTTCAGGCTGTCATCAGAAAAGAGTAATTTTCACTGAAATTTGAGAGCTCCCAGAAGGGTTTTGTGTTTTGTTTCTTTGTTTTTGTTTTGCATTTTGGGCTAGAGGTATGAAATCAGTAGGTACTTTTTCCTTTGGTTCCTTATATTGTTGGGTTCTGTTTACCATAAGCCTTTTCTTCCCCTACTTTTCTCTCCCGTTTCTGAATTGTTCGTTGGTATTTTGGTTATTAGGATTAGTTATAAACCCTGGTGTAGGTCCTGAAGACTTTATTTTCCCTCAGTGAGTGCAGAACTCAGGGAGACTACTGCCTTCTTTTGGAAGTTACTTGTTTCATGGAAAAAGGATAGAAAGTACAACTTAAGGCTTTGAAAGTAGCCTGATTTTTTTTACCTTCTTGCATGCTAAAACTTTATCGTCAGGTGAAATTGTAGTTCTTTAGTTATATTTTAGTATTCTTCCAAGTTTTTCCCAATATCTGGTAACAAAGAATGGGATCCCTGCAAGATTTACTGTTATATGAAATAGTGAAAATCTGGCAGAGAAGATAAATTTGGTACAGTGAACTACCCTTGGCCTGTCATCCAACTTCCTTATATCCCTTGAAAATGGTTTCATTCTGGAGCCACCTTGAGGCCTTCAAGCTATTTATAGTCCACTGTCATTGATTCAAATTCTTTATTCCACAAATAGTAGAATAGAATAATAAAAAGGCTATGTAAGTCCCAGGAAGGGTAATAAGGATCGTGATAATTTTTGCTAAGCAAGGTTTAGAACTTAATGCTATTGAAGTCTCAAAAATCAGTGGCTTCTACCAGTTAGAGGAAGAAAGAATAAAAGCAAATTATAATTCAAGAGACTGATCCTTAAAAACCAACCAACAAACAAAAACTATAGGAATCTTGCATTATTTCAATATTAGTTGCCTGCCCAGGCTTTACCCCATGTACCCTGAAACCCAGAAAACATCTTACGCTTTAATATTAAGTTAGGAAGGTGAAAGGAAAATTCACCTAAAATAGACTAGTGGATTATGCTCTCCACCATATAATCAAAACCACCGGGCTTTCAATGGATACGTAAACATGTTTTGGTTGCTAGGTCTTTAATGGCTGTTATTTTTGGATTCTGTTCATGATCCACTTCCCAACAGTAAGTCTGATGTGACACAGCTGAGTTCTAAATATGCTGTCTGTGCTTTTTTTTAAGAAGATGGCTGCTAAAGGTTGTGTTCTCTGCATTCTTATCTGAAAAGACAGGTGATACGGTTTTTGAGCTTTCTCTCCCTTTTCTGCTGTTGAGACTCTGTTTCTCTTGAGGCCTCATCACCTTCATGAAGAGGGATTCAGGGAATGCAGTATTCCTGCTAATACCTCTCTGTGGAATGTGGCAGCAGTAGTAGTTAATAGAGCTTCCTCCTGAGACTGGGTTAGTGTTGTTAAGGCAATCGTGCCCCAGATTCCCTGTGGCAAAGGGCTGGTTGAATTTGAGTTGTGTGGGTTTTTGATAGCATATACAGCGTTGGGGTGGGGGAGTTGGTTTACAGTTGTTTGTATGGAAAATAATACAAACAATAATTAATAATTAGAAATAATAATGCAATAATTAATAAATTATAATACACGAATACAATAATTAATACAGTGATTAATATAATACAGGAATAACCTCTGTGTTTCATATACTCATAACTGTAAGCCTACTTTTGCCCACTCTGTATTTTAAAACGTGACTATAAAATGGCTTTGCCTATGCGTTAGTGTTAAAATAATAGAAATATAGTTTGTGGCTGAATCAATGACAGTAGACTAAAAATCATGTAAGTTTTTAATGCTTTAGGGAGCACTTTTACTTGAAGGTGGATTATAAAGTTGTTATATGTGGAAGTAGGAAAAATTGCTATGTATCTGTCAGTAATCTGGAATTTGAGATGTTATTTCATGAGGATGCATTTAGGTAACTTACCTTTTGGATGCTTTTTGTCCAATTTTTATTATTGGGAGTCAACCAATTCTATATTTCTATACCTCCTCTCAAGCATAGACACTGGTTTACAGTACAAATTATTCATATTTAAGTAGTCCTTCTGGTTACCATAATCAAGTCATTGAGCAGAAGCTGATCATATAAGCTTATTACTTAAAATGTCTATTTCCTTAAGAACAGGAACACATTTTCTATGAAGAGATACTACTTAATGGATAGTTAGTATCATTCCATTATTAGTCATTGAGAAAGGTTTCTGTAATAACTACTCTGTATCAACTCCATTGTTTTAAGGAAAAATCCTTTGATTGTTTCTCTGTCCAGTGTGTCCCATAGGAGCTGTTACTCTTTTTCCCCCTCTGAGGAGATCTACTGCTAGATCTTGCCTTCTTCCAGGGGACATTTAGGTACAAGTTGGGGTTCTGTTCATACCTTTCTGAGACATGAAACATATAACTCATTCAGAGAACTCCAGAGCCTGTTTTCCCTTTCTAAGGCCAAGAATAGCAGTAGAGCCCTAGTTGGTGGGATTGAGGGCAGCTTCTTGTCCTCCTTATCTTGTCATATAGTAGGAATAATGTTTATGATGCTGTAGTCCTGGCTTCACTTGGCATTTAACCAACCTCCAATGCTGTTTATTGCTTCGTATCCTCTGCCTCCATGAACATTATCCCTTAAATCTCTATTGCCTTGTAATATATGAGGCAACAAATAGCTTCTATGATTGGTTAAATGCTGGCATGCTACAAAGGTATATGTTTTATTGCCTATATAACACAAATCTATAGAGATTATTCCTGTTATCCCAGCCTTCCCATTAAATGTGCCATAGTGATACTATGGGACTCTGGATTTTTAATTCTATCCCTTTGGCAAGTTTCCCTATTACCTGGCATTAGCACAAAAGAAAAGCAAGGAAGAATGGGTTGGTGCTGATTACTGATTTTTTTATGTTAAGGGAACATCATGAATTGGAGAATAACAAGGGAAGAAATGGCTCTGGTAGGTAAATGCCATTTGTGGTGGTATATGCTATCTTTACATGCTTCGACAGGTGAGGGCAGTTTCAGGCAAACAAATAAGCCTTTCTCCCTCACCCCCTGCCAAGAGTTTTAAAAAAATTCAAATTTTTATTTAATAATTCATATTTCACTCAATAATTCATCCAGTTCCCATCTGGTAAGAGTGCCTGCATGCTGTCAGGCAGCTGAAAATACACTGCATTATGCACAATTAGGCCAAATGCTAACCTTGTTTTTTTGTAATAATATGTTGATTTTGCAATAACTTTCAGTTCACTCTGAATATGCTGCAGTTTTATGTAACCTTGTGATGGAAGTAGACCACTGTTATGCATTGGGTAGATAAAATTGGGACTGGGGTAAAAAAAAAATTTTGGAGTTTTTAAGAACAAGGAATTAAATCCAAGTTTTTAAACGTCAGATCT